TGCAGCTTCAGTGGATGCTAGGATGCAAAGGGAGCACAAGGCGCAAGGTACCAAAGCACAAAGAGCAGGGACGAAAACACACACAAGAGACACCAAGCACAGGACCTCAGATGGACACGTAAACAAGCATGGTGGCGCAGGCCTGTCATTCCAGCCCTCAGAAGGCTGCGGCAGTAGAACCGCCATGAGTTCAAGGACAGTCTGGGCTGTAAATCGAGACCCTGTCTGAACCCCTCCCTCCCCCAAAAAGTGGACAGTGGCAAGGATGGCTGAGGTGAAAGGGCAGAGGAGTGGACAGTACAGCAGGACAGACGGCAGACCCTGCCCACAGGACAAGGAGTCCACAGGTCATGGTGCTCAGTCTTTGGCAGCAGGGGGCCTGCACCTACCTCTCAGAGCCGCCTCGCAGTCCTCCCCAATCCCAGCACCACCCCCACCCTCTGCCAGGCCTCCTCTCCAGACAGGTAGTGCCCCATGCACAGGGACAAACGACCCGCGTGCTCACCAGGGCACCCCCGACCGCCACACTGCAGGAAGCAGAGATGCCCTCAGTTCCCCTGAGCCTGCGGCTGGCGTTCTCTTCCATGATTCATTTTCTCACTCGCAGCTGGCATGACGCTCGGAACCCCCACCCACAGCGGCAGCAGACACCAGAGTCTACAACTTTCTCACAAATGCAGTACAACTGTTTTTAATTAAAACCTGATAAACATCACTGGATAACCGAGCAACAAAAGCACGTGTTTCAGGAGACAGCATCACTCTGCTCTCCTGTGCCTCTTGCTGCCACTGTCCTGTCTCAGGTTGGCTCACTTTCTCGTGGGTCCAGAGCAGTGTCCCCACCCCGATGGACCACGTCTCGTGGGCCCAGAGCAGTGTTCCCGCCCCAATGGACCACAAGGGAGCCCCATGTAAGAAGGGGGCTCACAAATCAGCAGAGAAAAGGCAGATGGAAGTTCACAACGAGCAGGTCGGGAAGGTTGCCTCAACACACAGACAGCAGCAGGGGCGTCGTGTCGTGTCCTGACAGACATCGGAGGCCCGAAGCCAAGCCAGTGGAATCGCTACAGAGAAACAAGACCAAGAACTCCACAGAAAGGGAGCTAAGGGAGACCACATACGGCCCCGATGGCCAGGAAGCAGGAAGGAGACGCACTAACCAGGACCGCAACTCTACAGCCAGGGACGGGCTCGTCATGTGCAGACTTCAACATCTCGGAAAAGCAGTGACACCAAGTGGCGTCGAGGACGTGGAGCACCAGTGAGTGTGTTCCCTGGGGCATCCTAGAGACGCCCTGGCAGTGCTCCCCAGAGGGACCCAGGTGTCCCAAAGACCCAGCACTTTCCTGGGTCTTTCAGAGTCCACAGGGACTCGGGGTCAACATGGGAGCAGCATTCCCATGCTGGAACTGCCAGTCCTGGGCCCTGCGCAAGGTCAAGTGGGCCAAGTCTGCACCGTTGCCAGCCCCAGTGTCACATGTGCCGAGCTCCCTGGAGCAGGGCCCAGGGACGACAGTGGGCATACACAGTGCCCCAAGGCCCAACTGCAAGGGAACTGAAGGAACCACGCCAGCCCGCACCGGAATTACCCCGCACTGTGGAGATGAACAAGTGTGTCCCCTGAGCACAGGGCGGGGTCAAGTGGGACGCTTCCCTGAGTGCACACTGCAGGCACAAAATGGGTCAGAAGGACCCACAGCTTGCCCTGCAGGTGGAAGCGGGTCAAGTACAGAAAAGGCGGATACCGGCTCTTCACTGCGATGCCCACTTACTCCAAAACGCCTCATTTCAAAAACACTTGACAGTGGAATATGTGCTTCCCTGGCAAGCACAGGGCCTGAGTTCAATCCCCGGTTCCGCAAAAAGAAAAAAAAAAAAGAAAACAAATAATTTGGGGCCGGGGAGATGGCTCAGTGAAATATGTGCTTCCCTGGCAAGCACAGGGCCTGAGTTCAATCCCCGGTTCCGCAAAAGAAAAAAAAAAAGAACTCTTGAAGATCTGCCGCCCTAAAGCAAGGTCCACACGTGGCAATACTGAAGAGAAAGCCGTAGTTAAAGAAGGGAAAGTCATGCTGGAGAGACTGACGAGTCCACCCAGTTCACACAGAGCTTCCACAGCACCACAGCTGGCCCGCAAGTCCCCACGTTCTGTCTACAGCATGCAGATCTAAAACATGCCCACGTCACCTGTGTTCAGAGACGGGGCATCTGGAGGGGGACAGGGTCACAGGGCACTCTGCTCACCCTAGCGTCCACCCAGTGAGTGTGTGACGAGGGTTGGCCTCGATAAGGAGACAGTCGCAAGTACAGCCTAAGAGGCCAGAAGCTCGTCCCCGGCTCCTCCCTCTCCTTCTCGACTGCCACAGGCCCTTCTACCAGCTGGCTTCTCCGTGGAGCTAGCTGACCACAGACAACCCTGTGAGACCACAGGCCAAAAGAACCTTTCTGCCGTAAGCCACCGGCACCAGGTGGTTTATCCCACTGACAGGAAAGCAAAGTACAGCCAGTGCCCCCCCCACCCCGGCTCCTCAGGCTCAGGCTAGTGGCGTGCAGCCTCTGACCACCTGGCAATGGCACTTGGGGGGCCAGGCCCCTCGCTACGGGCAAGGCTCACTGCCTCACTTCATGCAGAGGAACTAGAGGGCTGGAGGACAGCAGGGTGTCAAGCACGTCCCACCAGGCACCCTCCCTAAGCAGGAGCACACACGGGCATAGCCCGGGAGCTGCCCAGCAGGCTGGCAGGGTAGGACCCTGCCGCTGCAGGTCTGGTCTGGGAGCCGGGGTCTGTCTGGCACCAGGCGCTGGGCAGCCAGGGTCCCCGAGAAGCACACTCACATGTGGTCGAGATTCCACGTGCTGAAGAGGATCCGACTCTCCCGGTTGCTGTAGGGGTTGATGGAGTGCTTCGAGGCACAGTCCTCCAAGTCAAAAGGACCCTGTGTGACAGCAGACAGGAAAGGTGGGGTGTAGGGCTCCACTGGCCCCCCTGTGGGCGGGTCCACTGAGCAGCGACACCCCAGGCACCAGTCCCTGAAAATGGTGCTACTGGGACAGAGTGGGAGTCCAGGGATTCTGCCTGTGGAATCTTTGCCCGGCTGTGTTCTGGGACCCAGGAGAGCACTTAGTCACTGTCACTGTTAGTCACGACAGCATCCTGACCAGACACCTCCACCACCCATGGACGACACCCTTCAGTGGGCACCAGGGCGCTCTCCACCACAGCCCCACCTCCGAGACACTCCACAGAGAAGGCGCTGGCTGGCAGGGCCCACAGCCACCAAGTGCAGGCTGGAGCCACGGACTGTCCACTCCACATGGCTCTCAGGTATCTCCCCGTCACCCGCACAGGCTGGGGCAGCTCACTAAGCTGGCCCAGTCTCTCGGCCAGCACTCCTCACTACTACGTGTCTATGGAGATGTGCTGAGTGGCTCCGTCTACCACCCAGGGTCCCCCTTGGCACCACAGCATGAAGCCACTGTTTCCGCATCCTTTCCACTGGCACCTCCTGTGGGCAGGCAAAGGTGCTGTGCCTCTCAGTGTCCCCTCAGTGCCTGGTGAAGGGAAGGTCCCCAGTGAGTGGCCCAGTGAGCTCGCTGAAAGCTTGAAAGTGAGGTGAATCGGCAATGAGGATTTTATAAGGGCAGAGTCCACTGCGCAGAGAAGAAATGGCCAGCAGTGGCTGCAAGTGCTGGAGGCCACTAGAAGCCACCCCTGACACCAGGCCCTGCTGCCTGAACCACCAGGAAGGCCCAGTGGGGGGCACTGGCAATGCACCTGCACTTTCAGGTGGCCAGAGGTGCCCTGCATTGGTCCCACACCTCAGGGAGCAGGGCCAGGCCAGGCCCAGGTACCATCCCTGCCCGAGGCTGAAGCACAGCTGATGCCTGGCAGAAGGAAAGCTCAGGCAGCGAGGGCCTCGCTCCGCCTCCCGTCAACATGGTGCCCCATGTGCTGTTCACACATGCAGGACAGCAGGTCCCCAGGGGTCCCCGGCCACCCAGAGCACTGTTTCTGGCTGTGCTCCTCCTGGAAGCCAAGCTCAACTAGCGCTACCCACATCAGCGGGGAACGAAGCAGGGTCCTGATGGCGCCTGTCACAAAGGAGCCTCCCAGGCCCGGGGCATCCCTGCACGCTGCAGAGCCCATACTCCTGTGCTGGGTGCGGGCGCCCAGCCTCCAGGGACACCCAGACCAAGAGCTGAGTGCCTTTCCCACCTCGCCCAGAGGGTGGGCCCTGCAGGCCACCTGGGAGCGCCGGGGCAAGAAGCACTGCTCACCTGGCAGGAAAACCACCCCTCCGGCGTGCACAGGCGGCCACCGGCCTCTGCGGCTCTGTCAAAGTAGCTGCCGTGGTACTGCGCAGCCTTGAGCTTCTGACACATGTGGCCAAGGACACGCAGGTACTCCTCCCGAGCTCCCGTGGCCACCTCAGAGGCGTAGGTGCTCACCTGGGAAAGGGTGACACCGCTGAGCCTAGGCCCAGGCCACAGCCGGTGTGGGGATCCCAGCCAAGGGCCTGCATGCCCTCCAGACCCTGCCTGGGCCTGTGGTCAGAGGTCTAAGCCCCTGAGCTACAGCAACGCCAGGCAGCAGGCAGGTCAGAGCCAGCGAGGCCACAAAGGCTGCAGGCGACAGGAAGGCCCAGCCTGTGTTGCTGGGGTAGTGGGGGGCCGGAACAGGGGGTGCGCGGTGAGTCGCTACAGGGCACCAGGGCAGGGCACCCAGTGGCACGCCCAGTCATCTTTTGGAGGGGGCACACAGAGGGCAGGCAGCAGCACACCACCACCCTGCCACCTCTAGGGGAAAGCAGGGGCTCAGGGAAGCAGGCCAGACTCAACAGAGCCCTCCCCCTGCTGCTGTCAAAGGGAGACCACAGAGCCTCAGACTGGCTCCGCCTCTAGATCTAGGAGGAAGGGCAAGGTTAGCTGCCAGGGGAGGGCAGGTGCAGGGCCTGGAGCCTGAGCTGCAGGACCTTGGGCCTCTGCGAGCTTTAGTCTCAGATGGGCAAAGTGATGAATGCAAGCACTGGACACGCTCTGGGCCCACCTGGGTGCCAGGCGCCAGCACTGCCCAGGAGGAAGCTGGAGAGGGCATGTGGATGCAGAAGTGCCACCCTCCCTGCCCTTCTCAGCAGGAGGAACAGGCAAGCACAGCGTGACAGAGGCAAAACGACCATGTTCCAGGAATGCTGGGTCGAGCACATAGCCTGAGAGGCCTCTCTGGGGCAGCAAGGACAAGGCTCAGACACCAGCCACCAAGGGCCATCAGCAGGACAGTGACACCAAGGATGCACGCTTGTGCCCAGTTCTCCCCATATAAACTGAAGCGCCGCCTGAGGAATGTACCTGGTCAGGGTACAGGGTGAGGAAATAACCACTGCGCAGTCTGCACCTGCACCGCTAGCTCTCATGCACCGAGGGGTGGGCTGCTGTCCCCGCCCACCCCTCTGTGGCCCTGTCTAGAGAACCTGAAGGAGCCACCCAGCAACCACTGCATGGAGCTCCTGGCCTTCAAGGGCCCTGCTCCCTGGGATGGGCCTCACTGGCTAGGTTTATGCAGTCCTGCCCTCATGTCCTGTCATCTGTGAGGAAAGCAAGTCAGAGATCACCTAAGGGCCACAGCCCACCACAGCCTCCACTGGTTGGCCAGCCTCAGTGTGCAGTGACACCTCCTCAGGAATGGACGCAGCTACCTAGGAATCAGCTCCACCCAGAGATCACCAGAGCCACCCACGTGGCACCCCACACAGCCACAGCAACCCCACTGTCAGATGCCCCTGCAGCCACGAATGCGTGACCACGGAGGTGTTGGCCAGAGAGAAGAGGACACAGAAAGTATCCCCACGACACAAGAAAGTGAAGACCAGTTCTCATGCAGGAGGAACCCCACCAAGAGGGAAGGGGAGGCCTCCACCAGGGGAGCGAGGCTATAGTCCAAAGGGACATCAGCTGAGTGGAACAGAGTGTCACCTCTTCTGGGGGCGGGGCTCACCGGTGCCAGCCAGGGTGGCTTCCTGCCTTCCCAGCCCACCCATAGCCTCACCTCTCTCAGGTAGCCCCGGATCCGGCTCTCACAGCTGTATCTCAGATAGCTGGACTTGTTCCTAAACCGGGACTCCAGGCCTGTCAGGAAGACCTCCAAGTCACAGGCCGGCCAGAAGGCATGGCCAGAGGCCAGGAGGACAGCGGACGGTGGTGGACAGTGACACGTAGGGATGCCATTTGGTATTCATGTCGGAGGCATACCAGACACCGCTGGAGACTTGTCCCTGGGTGGTCCCTCTGGCCCTTTCTACCAGGGTCGCCTCCAAATGGGTCCCAAGGCCAGACCAATGGCCTGAACACACATAGCATGCATCTACCAGAGTACCAAAAGATAAACAATGAGGCTCCATCCACATGGTAGAATATTACTCGGCCTTAAAAGAGGAATACAACTCCAGCTACTTATGAGGCTGAGGCAGGAGGACTGCAAATTCAAGCCCAGGCTAGGCCACTTAGACAGAACCCTGCTTTGAAGTAAAAAGGGCTGAGGCTATAGCTGAGTGGTGGGCCACACGGATGAGGTCCGAGGGCCTACTGTAGGTGGGAGCTCAGTGCTCCCAGAATCTGGTGTGCTGGCTTCCCCGCGGATACCAGGAAACAAACGTACTAAAAGCGGCACCCAGTCTCTGCTGACCCCCAGCCGCACCACGTACCCTCGAACCAGGGCGGGTCCTGGGCCCGTGTTTCAGCCTCAATGTTCTGGCTCGCGCTCTGCAGCAGGTCGGCCAGCAGCTTCTGCCGAAGCGGGGCTCGCTCATCCGCCAGCAGCTGCCGCGCAGCCTGGATGACGCCCAAGTGCGGCTCCTGAAACACGCTGAGGAAGCGACCAATGTCACTCACGTCTGCCACCAGCCAGGAAAAAACAAAAATGCATTCAGTCCAGGGAAGGCACACCCTGCCCTGCCCACCCAGGTCTACCCAGAGCCCAAGGGCCATGCCCAGACCCTGACGTCCAGCCCTTCTTCCGAAGCCAGTGGGCCTTGTGGTGCTGCGTCCCCGCCTCCCACCCCACGCAGCAGCAGCAGCAGCAGCAGCACATGCAGCAACATCACCCTCTGCTCAGAGGCCAGGTGACCTCCTGCGCAGGACTCGCTGATGTCCCCCACCCAAGGGCCCTTGCCCACGCGAGCAGAACTTGCTGTTCTGCTGATCTGAAGGTGAGACTCACAGGCTGGGCCTTGAATGCTGATGCCTCACACTCCCCACCTCGTCAGAGCAAGCGCCCAGGGAGAGCCTCACGCCAACCTCAGCTCAGCCCCTCAGGGACCAAAGGCCTGCCCCGCCCAGGCAGAGGCACAAAGCTTGGCTGCATCCCTACCTGCGAAACTGCAGCAGGCCCCACCCCAAGCTGGATTTGAAGAATTGAAAGAAGAAAAAAAAAAAAAAACAAAAACAGACAGACTGCAGCCACAGGAACATAATCTCAGAAGGCTGGAAGGCTAAGGCAAGAGGATCCCGAGTTCAAGCACGGCCTGGACAACTTGGGCACTAAGGAAGACATTGCCTCAAAGAAACAGGGAGAGGAAGAGATCAAGGATGGAGCTCAGAACGAAGGTCCTGGGTTCAACGGCCAGCACTGCAAAGACAGCCGACGGCCGGGCTGCGCTGCTGGGCAGGAGGCGCCGGCTGCGCGGACGGGCGCGGCCCGCGGCTCCGACCCCAGGCTTCTGCCCCCGGCGCGCGGGGTCTCCGCACTCACAGCCCCCCCAGGTCTGGCCGGCGGTGAGCAGCACGAGCTCGGCGTCGTCGGGCACGCCTGGGAAGTAGTCCTCGGTCACCTCCGTGCCGTCCTCGTACAGGCACAGCCGGGAGCCGCGCTCGGGGACCTGGGGGCGGGGCCCGGGCGTCACGGCAGGCCCGGGCGCCCCGCCCGCACCCCGAGAAGGCGGATCCCGGGGCGACGCGTCTCGGGCGCCCCTCGCGGGTTGAGAAAGCAGCCGGGGGAACCCGCGCACCTGGAAGCGCAAGCAGCCCTTGCGCAGCACCTCCTGGCAGGTGCGCCCCGCCACGCCGAACTTCCGCGCGCTGTGCAGGTCCCGCAGCCGGACGCTCTTGGGCTGGCGGAGCGCGGAGCACATCCTCGCGCCCGGCTAGTGCAAGGAGGAAACCCGGCGGG